AAATATCTTTTACATATATACTGACTTTCACAAAGTGCATCAGAAAATTAAAAAGAAACTCCCTGAATTTCAGGAATTCACAAAAAAAACCCTATTCGAATGAACATTTACAAGAAATTAAAAGAGAACACAATCCTTTGAACCCTATTTATACAGATGTTATGAAATACAGAGAAACTGTTGCTAGACTTCCAGTTGAATATCTCACCTTAAGCCTTTTTTGATGCTTCCTTTTTTAGGAAAAAAAAAAGTCTCATTGTAAGTAGACATCAAGCAGGACTTGGAGCATTTTATATATAATATAATCCACACAAAGGGTCTTTTTTTATAGGTCTCGTTTGTTGTCATTCGAAAGTTCTGACAGTCCTTTGCTGAGTGGTAGCTAGTTTTTTGTTTTTTGTTTTTGAGAAAAGGACAGAGGATGGTGGAAGGAGTGGGCGGTGGGAGGGGGCGTTTCTGTGTATTGCTCTTCTCTGGAGAAGTTTGTGCCAGTGGTTGCGTGTGAGTGCACGCGTGCGCGAGTGTGCGTTTTTGCAGTTGTGGGTCTCCGGGGTGTGTGTGTGTGTTATGTGTGTGTGCGCGCGTGTGTGTACAGTTTTGAACCTGTTTTGTCGGAGGATGGTTCGCTTTTGTTTCTGGACCTCGCGTTCGATTCTCGTCTGGGCGCATTGGGTAGAGGGGAACTCCGCCATCAAGCCACCGCCCGGGGGATCCGCAGGGCTCCACCTCGCGCCCAACCTGGGCTCGGGGGCGTCACTGGAGCCCCTGTCCTCCCGTGCGCCCACTCGCTCGCCCTCCGAACCTCTCGCTCGCTCTGGGTGTCTCTACTTGCTCGCTCGCGCCTCTCCGCCAACCTCTAGGAATCATTGGGTCCGGTCGCAGCTTCTTTGCCTCCGGCCGAGGCCGCCGCCGCCGCCGCCGCTGCAGCCGCCGCCGCCGCAGCCGCCGCAGCCGCCCGGGCTGCACTGACGCCGGAGTCGTGCAGGATGAGGTCGGGGGACTCGGAACGGGGTGTCTCCAGGTTGCTGGCGTCCGTGTCACTGTCGCTGCCCTTTTTGCCCCCGCCGCCCCCGTTGTGCGTCTTAATGTGTTTGCTCAGGTGGTCGCTGCGCATGAAGCGCTTGTTGCACACCGGGCAGGCGAAGCGCTTCTCGCCCGTGTGAGTCCGCAGGTGCCGCTGCAGCTCGTCCGAGCGCGTGAAGCGCTTGCCGCAGAAGAGCCAGTTGCACACGAAGGGCCGCTCGCCCGTGTGCCAGCGCAGGTGCGCCTTCAGGTGCGACGTCTTGCCGTACACCTTGCCGCAGCCCGGGATGTGGCAGCTGTGCAGCCCCTTGCGTCGCAGGCTCGCCCCGGCCGGACCTAGCCGCTCGGCTTCCTGGCAGTTGGGGCAGTCGCAGGTGGCACGGCCGGAGTAGCGGCGGGCGGAGCGCGCGGAGCTGCCCCCGGCGGCCGCCGCCGCGGCCCCCGAGATCATGGCGCTGGCGGCGGCCGCGGCCACCGCGGCGCTGGAGTCCGAGTAGGAGGGCAGCACCGGCTTGAAGCCGTCCTGGGCCAGCAGGTGCTGGCTGGTGGAGAGCAGGTGCGAGGCGGCGGCGGCCGAGGAGCCGAGGCCGGTGGAGCTGAAGGCCGAGTGCGTGAGCGAGCTGAAGTCGGGGTTGTAGGTGCCCAGCTGCGAGTGCAGCGAGGCCTGGGGGGCGCCCGAGTGCAGCGAGCTCTGCAGCCCCCCGGCGGGGTTCTGCACCTCCAGCCAGGAGCCGGGGCTGCTGTGCACGTCCCACCACGACGACGCCGCGCCGTTGGTCACCTCGCCCGCCGCCAGCGTCGAGTGGAAGCCCGACTTGTACCACGACTCGTACGGGTGCGCCATGCCCACGCGCGGATACAGGCCGTCGGCGGCCGTCGTGTGCACCTTGGAGATGAAGGCCGACTGGCCGCCCGCCTCCTGCGGGGACACGCCAGCCGCCGCGGCCGCCGCCGCCGCCGAGTTAGAGAAGAGGCCGCCGTAGTCGCTGCTGAAGGCGGACGACGTGGGGGACGTGGAGGCCAGGCAGAAGGCGCTGTTGGCGGCTCCCGAGCCACCCGCCAGGCCGCTCGAGCCGCGGCCGCCCGTGGCCACAGCGAAGCCGGAGAGGCTGGAGCCGAGGTTGCAGCTGGACGAAGAGCGCTTCCACGGGTGGAAGCCGCCTTTGGCGAAGGCGCTGGACTCGGGCAGCGTCGTCAGCGGGCTCGTGTTGCCGATCTTGTTGCAGGTCGCCGCCAGCATGGCCAACGGGGTCGTTCCGAAGCGTGGCTCTTCCTGGAGTGGGTGGGGTGAGGGAGGGAGCAAGGAGGAGGAGGAGGAGGGCAGGAGGAAGTGGAGGAAGACACAAAGTGCACCCGTGAGCAGCCTCGTTCCCCCGCGCCGGTCCCGGAGGGCCCTGGCACCCCGGCTCGCGCCTCCTCCCCACGCGCTGGCCGAGGACGTGCCGCGCCCCGCGCAAGGCAGAGGCGATCACAAGCGTGGAGGTCCTGGCGCTGGAAAGTTGGTCTTCCGTGAGACTATAGAGCAGAGATGCCTCGGTTTTCTTCACCTCGTTCACTGCCACCCTTGTCTAGAATCAGACTTGGGCTGACGCCATAAACCCGCTCTTCTCCCAGGAGCCCCCAAGTCGCCCTTCCGGGTGTAGCACGAAGATAAACACAGACAACAAACACGAGTGAGGGCAGGGGGATGGCCGAAACAGCGGCCCTGGCCTGGGAGAAACTTAGAACACTCCTCGCTTAAGTGCCTACGACTTAGCTATTTTCTTTTATAGTTCAAAGACGTGGTTTTAATATTTACACACACACACACGCAGTTACAAAAATAATCCGAGTATAAACGGTCCGGTGACGGCTTTCAAAGTCAAGGGCGAACTGGGGAGCCACGCAAATGTAAATGTTTATTAATGTAACTGCATGGCCTGCAAAACAAGACTTTTCTGAAAACACTGTCCTGGATTAATGCAACAATCCCCAAAGCAAGGGGGTGGGGTAAAACCAAAGAGAGGAAAAGAAACCTTCAGCTTTGCTTTAAAACCAATTAAAAGGGAATTTGCTTAAATTCTTTACTTGCAAAGGCAGTGCCCCAGGTTCCAATAACTTGAAAAGATCCGTTCCGGAAATGTGGAAAATGCTAGAAAGGAACCTGAAGCTGCGATCCAGCAACAGTTTCATGTGAGCCGCGGACCCAGAGAAGCCATAAAGAAAAAAATAACTCCAGTCATAAAACGAGCAACTGCGTTGCAGCGCTTTTTTTTTTTTTTTTTTTTTTTTTTTTACTTACCCCGAGTATAGACGTGGCCATAGCAGGTCTCTTGGCTGCGCGGCGAGGCCGGGAGCGGTGGTAAGCCTTGCGGCTGCTGGGGAACGCAACTCGGGTCCCGCGCGGCTCCCGCGTCCCGCGCTCGCGCCGAGCGGACTCTGGGCTCCCGCCGGCAAAACTCAGCCTAAGTGCGAGGAGCACCCGCTTTGAAGTGCCGCTGGCTGCGCCTCTCGCCCAATGAGGGCGCAGGCAGAGCAGACGGGAGCTGCCCCGCAGCCAATCAGACGCGCCGAGGGGCCCGAGCCCGGGCTCCTGGCGCGTGCCAGTCAAGTCTGCGGGCGTGGGTGGGAGGGGGGGCGGGCTGGGGACAGAAGAAATTACAGTGCAATTAAAAATTTACACACACGTACCAAGCCAGGTTTAAGTACCGTTGAGACCGATCCGCAAGACCCCCACACACAACCCGGGTCACCTCGAGATGTTTGCCAGTTAAGGGCTGACTGTCTTCACTCCCCACTTGTGGGAAAGAGGCAGGAGAGGTGGGGACACCCGGGCCTAGGGCACAAGTGGAAATAATTTGCCTTCACTTTATGTGTACAGGTTCTTGCTGTGAAGAACTTCAGCTTGTAACCATCACTCTGTCGATTTCATCTTTGTCGTGGTCGTTTTTTGTTTTTTGTTTTTTGTTTTTTTTACCAGTTTCTTATTCCCACTGTATTCGGTTGTATGCTCAGAGTCCTATTGAGCAAAGGGCGCAAAGGACAGCTGGGCCTCTCCAGGCAGGTCTACACCCACAGACTTATTGGGAGAGCCCAGAGCCTGCTGCATCTCGCCATTTCCCTCCAGCGGTCTAAGTGACTTCCTAATTGTCGCTCTGGCCTCTGACCCAGGGGGTAATACAAGTGCCACTCACTCCAGAAGCTTCTGGTGGTAATTGAGGGCACCCTTTGTACGGCTTCGCCAGCGCCTAGATACCAGGTTAACCCAGTTGTCAAATATGACTAAACAGTGGGATGTGCTGATTATCTGCCAGGTTTTGCTGGGGGCTGGCGTGGGGGTGGGAAGCATCAGCCCATACAACACGCCGCACGAAGCCGCTTATTTTCACATTGTAACAACTTTGGAAACGGAGACCGGCGCTAGAGGCATCCGCCCCCACCGCCACCCCCGCTGAAGCTGCAGCTTGCTTGCACCGCTGTTTGTTTAACCCGGTGGAGATTTGCATGTCGGATTTCAGCCTGAAGTCGGAGTTTCAAGGGATGTTTCTAAGAGTCATTTTTTTCTTGCTTCAGCTCCAACCTGTCTCCGGTGCAGACTGCCAGGGCCTAGAAACTCGGTCTGCAGGGGCAAGGGTGTCCAAAGGTAGGCTCATCCGCAGCAGGCACCCTGCTGTGACAGACCTGCGGAGGACCTCTCTGGAACCTTCGCCGAAGAGTCTGCAAGAGCCAGGCCACACGTGGGCGCCTCCGCGTTCTGCAAGCTGGAAGCATCCTCAACTCCTCTTTGGACCTTGGTGTGAAAGAGGTGTCCTCACACATCGCGGGGCGCCGCCGCTGGAGTGTTTCCCGTCCCCCTGGTCTCTACTTTCTCTTTTCCAGGATAGCCTGAGGCTGCTTTTGAACTAGAAATACCAGCGCCCTCAGGCAGGTCTGGGTACTGTAAAACATGTAGCACATTCCCCCTCCAAACCCACATCCTGCTCTCTAAATAAGAACCACCATTCCCAAATGCTCGAGTGCAAAATTTGACGAGGAAGGACCACTGAAGAGGTCGTGGAGGTGTTCTGCCAGCTGTTTCCCTGTTCTTTCGCAAGATCTCTAGGCCCAAAAGTAAGTCTCCAGCAGCACTTCTCTCCCACCTTAAGGTGGAAGACTAGGCCTGCGTGCATCCGCTCTCTTCGTAGATGGGGAGAGCTATATGGATCGTGTTCGTTGCTTTTCACTAGAATATTTTTGCTCAGAATGCCTTTAAAAAAAAAGAAAATCTTTAAGGTAGCAAAAAAGCACGGAGGAAGATGATTGCGGAAAAAGAAGAAAGATAGAAATGGCCTGAGCAGCTACGAAGGAAGCGCTGTGCCCTAGGGGACCGAGAGAGAAATCTGATGGGAGGGGGGAGCGTAAAGAAAGGCCCCAGGGCTACGGGGTGGAAGGTTGGGGGGGGGTACCAGGCAGCAGGACCGAGCTGAAAAGCCCAGCAGGGGGACCCAGGAGCCTTTCCCAACAGGTGACTTCTGCCCTGGAAGGAGAGGCTGGCCCTCGGCTTCCCGTAGCGTCCCCGCGTCGATTTACTAATAGAGGGATTGTTAAGTGGCAGCGAGGCGTTTCCGATTCACCCTGTGCAGCCCCGGGAGGAGAAGTGACGAGGGTTCCCCACGACTTCTCCTCCCCAACCCACCCTCTTAAGGAAACCTGACCAAGTAATAAATAAGACAATCCGCGAAGCCAGTTGGCACTGGTGACATTTTCAAGCCAACCATGGAAGCAGTTCTCACGGGCACCTCGGGCTCGCGGATCCCGGCTCCTCTCCTTCTTCTCCTCCAGCAGTCCCCTCCCCCTCCCTCTGTTCTCCAGGCAGTTCCAGCTGCCAGACTCTGGACGTGGCACTCTCGTATTCCTAGACACACGCGTCCCCATCACAATAAAAGTTAGGGAAATCTTCCAAACAAGACAGACAAGCAATCGGAGCCAGTTCAACTCTAAGGTGGGGCTCAAAGGAAATCTTTCGGGAAAAGTCCAGTTTTTTTTTTTTCCTTCTCCCGTCTGACAGATTTTTTTCATCTTCTAAAAAATCTAGTTTTTAAACAAAGATCAATGTGTTATGCTAAAGTGTTGAGCTGACTGTTAAAACATTTGGGGAAATAATGACAATGTAACAAAGGCCTGGTTTGGAGTGAATCATCACCCTTTTAAAAGTTAAAGCAATTTTCAGGAGAATAGCTTTCAGCAAACGCTTTACATTATTCAAAACGGCCAAATAATGCTCTATTATAGCGCCTGAATGCTGCCAGTCAGCCCCTAAGTGCAATTTGTGCGAAGGCCCCGGTGCCTTATCTCCACTTCTTTATAAAGAGGTGAATATAAAACAATTTCTTCCAAACCCAGACAGAGAGCACGAAAATTGCTTCCCTTTCTGCAATCAGGGCAATTTAACTGGAGTGCAATTAGCACTATTAAATGTCGATTCTGCATAAACAAATCTGACTGAGCAGAGAAAGTGGGGTGAGAACCTCATATACACTGAAACTGATTTTTTAAAATTATGTATCCGGGTCCTTTACAATTGATCCGTGACGTTTTCATCTTGGCATATATTTACATCGTAAATACACTATGGTTAAATCAACATGATTTTTTTTTTTTTTGCAAAAAAAAAAATTCAATACGAAACCTAATAAAGAATGGAGCAATTAAAGGGAAGAGTTCACTTCTCTTGAACAAATGTTGCTTCTCCCATTTTGGCTCTCGGAAGGGCTTTGAGCTGAGCAACCGCTCAAGTTTGTGGTGTTTAAGAGGCAAAGCTAGAGAAACAATTTCATCTTGAGCGCTCATCCCGGATCCATGCGCCTATGCCGCAGATGAAATGCTTTCTCTCTGATGCACGAAGGAGGGTGGCGATCCCTAAGCCCAGCAGCTATTTTCTGAACTCCTCTAGACCGTAGCTGAGTAAACATTAGGTAGTGGCCCAGGCTCCTCGCTGGTTAGCTGCTGATGTACATCGCTGAGGTGGGGTAAGGTGTAGTAGGAGACGCAGGATGTAGGCAGGATGGGAGGCGTTGGGAGGGGAGGAACCGAAGGGTTCTGAAATTGGTGGGGCTGGCTTCAGTGGAAGCCTGGGCCCCTAGAACCAGGATGGGGGCGGGGGCGGGGGTAAGAGGGAGGGTGCCCATAAAAGCATTTGTCTGACCTGTCCTCCCACCTGCCTTTATTTATTTATTTGCTAAGCCACAGAGGCACCCGTTTTGAATCATTTGTGCAATTAATTATGCTTTTCATTTGCATGATCTACACCAGAGCAGTGATTATCAGGTCAGCACCGTGTGGGAGTTGGGGAGAAACATAATAACTTCAGTTTAAAAAAAAAAAAAAGCCGCATTTGTACCGGTTGTTGCCTGCCTTGAGCAAATGGGGGAAGGAAGCCCAGTGCAGCCTTTAACGCCTGTTGAGTCCTGTGAATCCTTCCCACAGTTGGAGTTTGTCAATGTGAGTGAAAATGAAATACAGCCTTTGATTAGACGGGAATCTTTTATAGTTAACATATATTTATGTCTTTAAAAGCACCAGTCGAGTTCAAATGGATCAAGAAAATTAACTGAAAATTGAGGAACTCTCCCACAATTTCTGTGAAGCTTTTATTTAATACTCATTTTATAACGCCCTTCCTTATTTTAGCCCAACCCTTACAAATAAAAAAGCCAAAGAAGAATCAGTAGGCCAATGAGACTTTCATCTTTTTTTTTTCTTTCTCTGCTTCAAAGGTGTCTCTCCTATTTAGGGGTGCTAGGAGATGCAAAGCATTCTAGCTTCTGGAAGGTTTCCAGGAGAAACTAAGTCCCTGGACTATTGAGAACAGTCCATGCCTTTTGCTGCACAACCAATTGTCTGCTGCTAGATGTGACTGGACCTTATATTCAAAGCTTGCCTTGAACTGTTTATCTGAGCCAAAAATGCATTAACAATTAAAGGAGAGACTGGTATGTCAAAGGAAGGAAGGTGACTGGAGATTGTGATGATTTTAATGACTGCAATTATTGGAAGATTATTCAACAAGCATCATAGGTTTGTTTACTGCATCACTAGGAAACTATGGGGGGCCTGCTTGGCTTGAGACTGTACTTTCCCTCCTCCCTCCCCAGCCACTATGAAGGAGTCTCAGAACCAAGCAAAGTGACAGGAGAGTCAGTTTTCTTCGTTTTAGGGGGAGTCCTACCCAAAGGATACACATGTGTTGCCTCAAACAACGCTAACAGAACTCTCCTCAGAGCCACTGTAAGATTTCATTTTCATCTGAACCTGATAACAAAGAAGCCCAGAGGCCAGAAGACTCTGGTCAGGAATCCTCGGCTGGCCAGCATGCTAGCTTCCTCAGTTTAAGCACTTCTTGGGCAGCCTGAGAGGAGGCTCTTCCCTCCTTCATCTAAAGCTCCGAGAAGGAAGACACTCCTCCACCTCTAAGAAGCATACCTCCAGAGCTCACCTGGGAAAGTTCCCCCTTCCTTCCTTCAACAGTCCCCTTCAAATCAGTCCCTGGCATGACTGTTCAGAATAAGTAAAGGAAAAGGTATGACCAAGAGCATTATCAGTTTGGGACTAGCCAAGTTTTGACTGTAAATATAACTGCAAGGGATGCAAACACAGAAAGGTTCTAATAGTGACAGAGTGTGCTTCGGTTCACAATCACTCACCCTGGAAATGCTGTTGTGGAGGTTAACTTTAGCCGGTGGACATCCCTAGCAAACACTCCCCTCTTCTGGGCACCAAGGCTGGAGTGATCGGGTGCTCTTGCTGGGATCTGTAATGACCAGCCTGGGACTTAAGATGGACTGAGCTGGCGTTGAGAACCTTCCCTACTCAAGTGTGAGCTTGCAAGCTTCTGCAAATGACAATTAGGAACCTATTACAAGCCATTAGATTGATCAATGTACCTTAAACAATGTGAATGATTTATATGGCTGATTTATAAGGGGGAAAGAAAGAGGTGGGGAGATGGCTCCATATCCTTTATCTCCATGGCACGGCTGTGCAGAGTAGGGGACCCAGATCCTTGCTCTTCTCAGCTTAGAGCCACCAGTGACTTAGACAACTTTTCAGGCAAAGACACAGGTTCCTCAGCTTGTCCAGTGGGTGGCGAGATGCATGTTCTTTGCCCCCGTGTTTCTTCTTTTTAAGGAAAAGTGAAGTCCCAGGCCAGACATGGCAGAGGAGGGCCAGAGAGATGCCCCTCCCCTAGCAGAGGACACTACCAGCAGGGGTCCCAGCTGCCTCCCTTCCTCAGTCTTTTCCCCACAAGGATGACTTACATATTTGTTTAACGGAGTGTTGGATTGCTGCATGGCCCCCTAATTACTGCAGGAACACACACCATTAGACCCTGAAATTTCAGGCCAGATTGGGGAGGAGCAGCAGCCAGGCTCTGGAAGGAAGCCGCTGCTGGTGAGGTGGGGGCTGGGAATCCTCCTTAGGGCTGACTCTTCCAAGCTCGGCTACAAAGCAAAGACAAAATTACTACAGAGCTGAAGCAATCAAAGCCGCCCTCCCTGTCCTGGTCCAAAGTCTGTTTGTGGTTGTCTACTTGCTGCAGATACTCATTGGCTTCTCACAACAAGGAAGGTCCTGACAGATTTTTCCAGAGCCTGTAAGGAGAGGATACATGTCACCCATCCCAAAGGAGGATTCCCTTGGTCTAACTTCTCCCTCCTGGTGCACCCTCAGCTCGGCAACAGAGGGACGGCCAGGCTCTGGAAGGACTCTAGGTCTAATGTGGTGACTAACACAGAACATCCCATACTCAGGTCTAATTCCACCCCTGCTGGTTCCTCCTCCTCCTCCTTCTCTCCCCTCTCCCTTCACAGGAAAGGGTCTCTCTGGGTCTCTTTGCCTCCTGACCCCCCCCCCCCTCCATGTCTTCTTACCTCTCTAGTTCCATAGAGCCTGGACAGGGTATGTCCCCTACCTTAGTTTGGCAGGAAAGAGCTTCATCTTGGTTTGTTCACGAGTGTCAATAACAAACCCTTTTGCTTGTGTCTAAGTGTGGAATCCGAAGCCTTTCAAGGGTTGATGTGCGCAGAAGGAAGGAGGAAAGAGTAGGGAAACAACATGCATATGTCTTTTGCAGCCAGTGTTCCACGGGAGCCCAGGATTTGGAAAGCCTTCTAAATGGATCATGCTCTCTGCCGAACACACCCCACCCCCATGCTAAACACACACACACACACACACACACACACACACACACACACACACACACTTACTTCCAGAGGCTGTCCTCTGACCTTATTTCTGCAGGTGGCACCCTGCTGAGTTCTTCTCTGAGTAAGTGCCTTCAATCCCCTCCCTTCCCTGCCTGGAATCTCTTCTCAAGGCCTCTCAACTCGAAAAGGCAGAGAAGGGGAGGTGGGTTACGTGGGCCCATGAGACTGCCGGTGAGGATTCAGGTGCCCCTGTGACATCGCCCAGACAAGCCATGCTTTCTAGATTTCAGCCGCTCTAGAGCCCATCCCTGGCAAGAGGGCCTTCTGTTTTACCACGCACTGGTGTTACACACATCCTGTGTCCGAGGAGAGCCCGCGAGCACCTGGACTCTATCCCTGGAGTATTGACTGAATGGTCTAAGGGTAGCTCCACACGCTTTAGGCACGTGATTGTCGTGCCTCCACTCTTACCGGGACCGCAAGCAAAAGATACTCTTGCTGACATGAAACACTCACCGAGCACATGCCGCGGGTGGCCGTCCTTGTTCTCAGCCAGGCGTCAGCGAGCAGGATGGCCTTAAGGCAGGCGACGATGCAGAGAGGCAGGCTCAGAGCTCCAGAAACATCTCTGCGAGTTCAGGCGTGGGGATACACTCAGATCTCTCAAAACTGCCCCGAAGCCTTTGGCGGGGTGGCCTCTGTGGGATGTGGCAAGGCCTCTCCTCCACTTTCTGGTACCCGGTTCAGCTTCCTTCACCACACCATGTTGAGTATCTCCGTGGCTACAGCACCCCCGTTCCTGTCCAACGGCCCTCAGCAAGACCCCCTTCTTGCACGCCCCCCATAGGCTCAGTTACATCTGGGATGCATTGCCCCTTAATTGTCAACCCGGTTATTGTGATCAAGTGAATGTTGCTAATCTCTACATTTATTGTTTAGGTAAAGAGAGGTTGCGTTTCATCAATATGCAGGACCCAAGCCCTCGCAGCGCCAAGTAACTTAAGTCAACGCTGAAAATTTCAGGGTGTGCGTAATTACAGGGCACGCAGAATTTTCAGTCGATCCTAATTCCACATCTTTTCTCCGACCCGGGGGCAGCAGGAGGAGGGAACCCGAGGAATCTCCACCCTCTAAGGAGTCGAGGGCCTGCTCCTTTCGAGTCAAGGAACTTCACTGGCGGTGACACCGCACGCGCGCGCGTCCTGTCCTCGACCCACAGCTTGAGATGGATCTGGGGACAATCCTAAACTTCCAAGCTGCGGAAACCAGCGCTCAGCGTTCTCTCTGCAATGCTTCTGGAACCCTCCCCCGAAATCTGCCGCAGTGAGGAGAGGGTTCCCCCACTCGGCGGGTCCTCGTGGGAGAGGGAGGGGGTTTGGAGGAGGGTTGTCCCACGCTCTCCACGCGCGGACGCGCGGTGGGCTTCTTGTTCTGCTGTGCCCAGTTCCTTGCCTTGGGCTTGGAGCGAGAGAGTGTGTTGTGCTTCTTGGGCGCGGAGAGCGCGGGTACTGGTGCTTCTTAAAGAGTAGCTATTGTTGTCTAATTAAGAGGATCTAAACCCAGATACTAAAAGACTAGGCATTCGCCTCAAGAATGGGCGGTCTCCTTCAGCCAAGGCTGGTGTGGGCTTCTTCCAGCCTCTGGGCTCTGGGAGTGGCCTTGGACGGCGGGGTGGGGGTGGGGTGGGGTCTGCTGCTCTGAGCCCGGCAGAGGAAGGGTTAGCTGGGAATATTCCAGGAGGCTGTGGAATGGGACTCTAGAGGCTGATGCTCAAGTCCTAGGGAGTAACACTTTCTCAGGCAACTCGGTTGCAGGGAATTTGTTTCTCTGCTTCAGGAGTAACTCCAGGTTTAACCGGAGGTCCATCTTACAGGAGATAGGCTGGCTTTTTTTTTGTTTTTTGTTTTTTGTTTTTCGAGACAGGGTTTCTCTGTGTAGCTTTGCGCCTTTCCTGGAACTCACTTGGTAGTCCAGGCTGGCCTCGAACTCACAGAGATCCGCCTGGCTCTGCCTCCCGAGTGCTGGGATTAAAGGCGTGCGCCACCACCGCCCGGCTAGGCTGGCTTTATTTAAACAGAATTTTGAAGTCAACTCCCCACTTGCAAGTTTAGGGTGTCGGTGCAACCACTGGATTAAATTATAGCTGAGGTGTGAACTGGGGGCCACAGTACGGAGTGGCAGCTAGGAGTTTTTCATCTTTGGAACCAGTTCCTTCTCATATAAGGTACTTCTCTTTGCTTTCCTCTTTCCTGAAGACTTGAATAGCATTTGCAACAAGGGAGAAATTAAACACAAATGTCAGTTCCATCCCGACAGCCTTTCTTTCTGTTATCCCATTCTGAACCACCCCTTTGCAGGCCCAAGCTCCTTTCAAGCCTGTGACACCCCCCCCCCCTTATCATACATGCAGATCTTTTACCACACTGACACATACCAGCACTGCCTCTCACAGGGCAGCTGGATATGGGTTTAGACTCTTCGGACTGCAAATATTAACTTACCCTTTTCTGAGTTGTGGTTGTTTTCAGCTAGGACAGGGTAAAAAGGATAAGATGGCTGGCAGCCAGGTCCTCTGGGTGGGCACAAGCCCCTTGGAAGTCTCAGGATGAGTATACATTAAGGCTCACCACTTCAAGTGTTGATCTTGACCAGGCCTAGACATTTGCCAGGTGTCTGTTCTCCAAAATGCAGCTAAGAATTTCAGATTTGAAGGATTGCTATAAAGGCTAAATAAAACCAGGCAGAGAAAGTCCTGGCCATGCTCTTCTCGGTGCTTACTGAGAATTAAAAGGTCTTGCCTTCCTAGGAAATTCCGCTCATAGCTAAAACACTGAGACCAGGCCCAGGGCCGCTCCACAGCTGATTCACAGTGAGGGGCCAGGAAGGCGAGCCTCATGTCCGCCAGCAGCCAGGAGACCTGTTTGGAGGAGTCAATAATCATTCTAGGGATGATTTATTGTTGTCCGTTTAGTTGATTTTGTTTGGTTTGGGTTTTGATTTGTTTTAGAGTCTTTTGTTGCTGTCTTGGAATTCTCTGTGTAGATCAAGGTGACCTCTAACTCTGCCTCTGAGATCCATCTGCCTCTGCCTCCCAGAGTGCTGGGACTAAAGGGGTGTGTGTGCCACCATGCCTGACTTGTTTTAGTTTTTTAAGATTGTTTTTATTTATTTATTTTTATTTTGTATATGTCTGTAGAGAGGCATGTACAGGGTCCCGAGGAGGCCAAAGGCCTTTCGTGCTGGAGTTACAGGTGGTGATGAACCACCCATTGTGGATGCTGGGAACTGAACCCAGGTCCTCTGCAAGGGCAGTAAGTGCTCACTTAACCATTGAGCCATCTTTCCAGCCCTTTTCTTTTTCTTTTTTTGTTTTTTGTTTTTTGTTTGTTTGTTTGTTTGTTTTTGAGGTAAGGTCTCACCATGTATCTCACACTGGGCTTGAACATACTGATTTAGCCCAGGCTAACCTCTAACTTGCAGTCTTTTTGGAGTTACATGTGTCTGCTACCATGTCTATCCCTAGCTTCCAAATTTTTTGCACATAGAAAATGGAGGTCTTGTTCCTAAGAACAACAGCTAACATTTATTGAGCAATTATTATATCCCGGGCATTCTGGCATGAGCTTTGCACTCAGCATCTCACTTATTTCACATAATAATCTTAACATTGAATATTACTGATCTTTCTCATTTTAAAGATTTTATTATTTTCAATTGTGTGTGTTAGTGTTAGGGTGCAGGTGCCCACAGAGACCAGAGGTATCAGATGCCCTGGAGCTGGAGTTATATGAGGTTTTGAGCCACCTGATGTGGGTGCTGGGAATAGAACATGGTTCTTCTGGAAGAGCCTATGTGCTGACCTTAACCACCGAGCCATCTCTCCAGCTCGCTCTCTCTCTTTAAAACATGACTATATAAAGTGTCAAATGCATATTGAAAAGTAGAGAAAAAGTCATCCATCATCCAGTGTCAATCATTGTCACCTCCAGGCCAAATTTTTTTTTCTGCTATTTCCATCTCCTCTTGCTAAATTTTAAATCAAATCTCAGACACCATATTAATGATATATATATATATATATTATATATGTGAAAAGATATTTTAAAATTTACAATATCATGTTATGATCATATTTAAACACATTTGAAATCATTCCTTATAGTATCAAATATCTAATCAATGTTCAAGTATACCCTAGAGTCTTATGAATGATTTTTTAATAATTTTTTTGTTAGATCAAAAACAATTTTTGTTTGTTTTTTTGAAACAGGGTTTCTCTGTGTAACAGCCCTCTGGCTGTCTTGGAATTTGCTTTGTAGACCAGGCTGACATTGAACTCACAGAGATTCACCTGCATCTGTCTCCCAAGTGCTGGGATTAAAAGTGTGCTCAATCACTGCCCAGCTAATCAAGATATTCTTACATAATATTTAGTTAGCTAATTGCCTCTTTGTTTGGGGGTTTCTTTTTTGTTTGTTTGAGAAAGGGTCTCTCTATGTAGCTCTGACTGTCTTTGAACTCTCTACGTAGACCAGGCTGGCCTCCAGTGAACCAAGCTCTGCCTGCCTCTGCTTTCCAAGTGCTGGGATTAAAGGAGTATACCACCACACCTGGCTCTAATTGCCTATCAAGTCACTCTTGATACATCTCATATCTCCATCCTCTCTTCCTTCCGCCCCCTCTTCTAACACTGAGTCACTCCTTTGTTTCCTTGTGGTTTATTTGTTGACATGAGTCATTGGTCCTGATACTCATTTTTAGAATGAAGAAATCAAGGTTCAGAGAGGTTAGAAGCATTTAGAAGTGACTAGAGAAAGAATGTGGTTTTAGCTACTTCTAACTAGAGTGTCTCTGCTCTATTGGCTTTATTATAGCCCCTTTAAGTCAAATGATGAAAAGCAAGACGCAGGAAACCCTCGTCACCCCTAAGGGTTTCAGAGGATGCATGACTCACCTAAGCAACCAGATTTACCAAATAACCACAGAACACCATTCACTTCAAACCCAGTCTGGGTTTGAAACTGGGAGGAACATTGAGAACAGTAACTCTGCATGATGAGGTAACCCCTGCATGCCCTTGTATCTGTAACATGAGCAGATTTTTATGTCCAACAAATATTTAGTGAGATAAAAAGATTTCTCAAAGAAACCAAATTTCTTTTTCTTCCTCTTCTTCATTCGCTCCACAACCTCTCCTTTCCATCGCTCCACAAGGCAGGGTAAGGAGAAAATATCTCTTTCAAGTAGTTATTTTAAAATACCAGTCAAATTAACAATTTGGTAGTTTGATATGTGATATCTGGCTTTTGTTGCCGTAGTTTTGAAACCACACGTTACCCTAGCAACTGAATACATTTTTTTTTCTTTAAAAATTTTTTAGCTGTCTAGAGGAGAAAAAAAGAAAAGGGAAACTTCTTGACAGAATTTTCCCATAATAGCTTCCATTAACTGCGGTGACTTCTGTCGGGGAGGCCAGCGCTGCTGTCTCCTGCTGTCGCCAGCCATCCACTGATCTAGCAGATGTTTTGTTTGATAAGGCCAATTTGAGCTTGATAAAACATTTATTTTTCTCACCTCCAAGGAGCAAATACCAGTAAGGGTGGGATTCAGCAGCGATCACTAGACACGCAAGGGCCTCCACCTGCCTGCCGGTGGAGATGCTGGGTGAGAAGAAGCACTAAAACAAGTCTTAAGGCTTCGGTTCCTAAAAAGAGGACGAAAAGGAAAAAAAAAAAGAGGAGGGATGGTTCAAGAGCATTAGATCAGCCTCCAGGGGCTTAACAAGGGGAAGAAAGTGAGTTGGAGAGGCGAGAGTCTGCTGGGGAAGCAACCGGAAATCCCTGGTGGGTGAGGCATTCCCTGAGAGGGCAATGCTGACGGTGAACAGAGAGAGCCTAGCAGGGCCTTCTTCTGGGCCACCAATCAGCTCCCAGATACAGACGTGGAGACTGAACATTAGTTATGAATGTCGGCCTTAGCTTGTGCTTGTCCCACTAGCCCTTATAACTTAATTGAACCTGTTTCTCTTCATCTACATTTTGCCTTGGGGCTTTTGACCTTTCTCTCACTCTGTATGTCCTCCTCTCTGTCTGTGTCTGTGTCTGGCTGGAAGCTGCCTGCCTGGCTGGCCCTGGGTGTGGGCTTCAGCATCTTTGCCTAGTTAAAGCAACATTCCACAGGAAGAAGGTGTGGTTCATTTTACATTTAGTTTGTACTTTTGCTGAATCAGGTGTCAGCATTTCAAGCACAGTAGAGAAGAATCAAGATGGAAAGCAAGTGACCGTTCGGTCTTCTCACAGCCACTAAACTGAAATATCCACTTG